ACTTGAAATCGCAACTAAAAAACTCATTAGTCCCTTCTGACAACACACCATGTAAATCTTACTTAATTACCCTTAATTAGGATTATTATTAGGGGGTAAATTTTCAAGACATTACACACTATGGCACACGACATAGAAAGGTCACATCGCATGATATGACATGTTGCAATGAATGTGGATGTAAAATGACATTTTTAACTTTTTTTACTATAGTAAATTGAATGGAATCTCATGCTTCTAAATGATTTTAAAACTCAAATTTGAGTATGTGTTAAGCCTTAAAAGGGCTTGTTATCTTATGATCTTAATAGTGGGCTTTTATACTTTATTATGATGATTGTTATGTTTTCTAGCATACTAGTTGCAATTAAATGATTTTAATCCTTTCTTTCATGATAGAATCTATTCCACCATGGTGAGGTCTATTTAGAATTATTTATTTAACTTATCAAATTATAAGTTAATACTAATAACCATAGTAAACCTTAAATGTGAGTCTTTTTCTTTTCTACTGTGATTAGCTCTTTTAATTATACTTAACCCTTTTTACCATGGTAAAGTGATTAGGGTAGTTGTTCCTTGATTACCATGGTAACATAAAATATGATGGTTAAAATTGTAGAGTAATTTGGGCATATTACAAATTTGGTATTTAAGATGATTGTTTGATGCTTTGGCACAACCTTCATGAATCTAACAAGTTAGATTATTTTGTTTCATGATTTGCAAATTTCGATGGTCCTAGATTATTTACATGGCAAATGGTATAGGTTGTTTTGCATTAAGTCATGTGTACTATGTAATAGGGATAATACATAACCACATTTTAATTCAAAATATTACTATGCAAGCAAAGTTAGACTATCCATTACATTCATGTACCAATTACAACTAAATTTTCAACACAATACATCACAAATAGAGTTCAAATCACTATTGTCGTCTTCAACTTGAAAATCCCTTACACATTTTATAACTATAAAAGGAAAAACCCTTAAAATAAATAAAGCTACTATTGCCATCTTTAGCTTCCTCTTCTTATTTTACATCTCCATTACAAAGGTACAATGTTTTTCCTTCAACTCCTTCAGGTTCCCCTTTAGGCATTAAGCATTGTTTTCATGTAAAGTAGCTAAGAAGGATCTTACACTTTGTTCTTCCTTTCAATGAGCCAATCTCTTCAAATAATGAGTCAATATGACCAAGCAGCTCCTACATGACCTCCTTGGACCTTTCTCCCAAATAAGGATTGTGCCATGTGAAGTACCTATATCCCCATCCTTGTTTCTCATTCACCATCATGAAAACTTGGACATAAATGAAGCAAGAAACATAAATCAAATGAGATTGAATTAAACATACCTTCTAATAGTTTTAACAACCATAAAACCTTATACCAAGGGTGTGCTTCATCTAAGAGATCTAATATGCAACCACTATGCCCCAGAGATAGTGCTTTAGTTTGCCTCTATAGTTTATCTCTACCTCATTGCCTATGATGTTTAACTTCCTTGTTGCTTATGACATTGTTGAAGTAGATTCATCGATAAAGCTTCCTCACAACATGATAGAGCCTTATCTCCTCTTTTAGATTGATGTGTAGGTTGTCGTGGGCACTCTTAAATGTTGTTTAATAACTTTCTTTAGTAGATCAACAACACATAGACACGTAATCAAATGGTCAAGCAGACTAGACTGCCACATGTCTTATTTAAACATCCATTATCTCCTATTTTAAAGGTAGGGTGTTAGTTAACCCATTTTTTAGGTTAAGGGGGACGAATAGATCAAATATGAGTTAGGACATTAGGTGTCCTTAAAAGAATAGTTTAAGGACAAAATGAGCATAATCCTTTAATATTCAATACAAGTTTTACATTATTAGTTATATGTCAGATAATTTAAACACCATTATAATATCATCCCTTTAAGAATAATTAAAATTAGAAGGACCAATGTTGGATATAGGAAACACTAGAGGGAACTTAAATATTAAAAAAGATATAAGAACTAATAATAAATTATGATAAAATCATATAGGGCAATAATGATATTTCCCTAAAAAAAATATAACAAGTGTTGAAATTAAAGTTCAAACTTTGGCAATAAGTCAATAATCAAGTCCAATAGTAAGCTAATAAGAATATGAACAATAGACTATAAGTTCCCTATTATAGAAGGAGTGAAGGACACGTTAGAGACATAACAAGCTAGAGCACTTTCTATATGCTATTATGTTGCTACCTTATATCACACTTAGAGTGGAAGCTCATCTGTTGTAATTTTTATATATGTGTATCAAAAGGAGAAGTTTCACATTGCTCACATAAGGAGAGCTCCTAAGGTATATATCTAAGGAATAAAATGGATAAGTAAATAGGCTTGGAAGAAACATGGGCTTGCGCAAATGAAATAGGCTTACGCGGGGCAATTATAGTTAAAAATAGCCAATTTGCTCCCATGTGTATTATTAGATTTATTATATTAATTATGCATAATGATAATATACTCTATCAAAATAGCTTAAGCTATTTGATTAGATACTTTCCAAGCTTTATATATCATGATCCATTTTCTAATCTTTTAGATGTGGGACTTTTTTTTACACTCTAATATTCTCTTTACTACTTTTTTTTTCTCCCTATTTTTTTTTTTTCATTTTTTCTTCTTCTTGTATGGTTTGTACTTTTTTTAGTCTTAGATGCTTTAGGTCTATTTAATTTCTTCTCCTTTTTTCTTCTTCTTACGTCATTTCTTTTCTTTCTTTTTTTAAAACTTCTTGTTGTATTTATTTTCATCTTTCATTTCTTCATTTTTTTTTCCTTTTTTTTCTTTTTTGTCCCTTAATTGAATGGCTCATGATACCATGTTAGATTTGTTAATTAAGTATGCATAAGGATAGTATACTCTACCAAAAAATAGCTTAAGCCATTTGATTAGATACTTCCTAAGCTTATATATCATGATCCATTTTCTAATCTTTTAGATGTGAGACTTCTTTTTACATCTAATATGCGTGAGGTACAGAGGCATTGGGATCTTTTTACAAGTTTATTTCTTGTAGAATTGTAAAATTAATTTTGTAAAATATGCTTATACAAAAATCTTTGAATTTGGCATTTTAGAATTTAAATTATTCATCTTCCCTTAATAACATTTTGAATGCCCATTAACAAGTAGATATTTTCCAAATTAAAAATCAAAACCAATTTCTTAAATGTTTTAATGTGCCAACATTTAGAAACCTCAAAGAAAATTCACATTATATGGCTTTATGTTTCTAAAATTTCTCCTTAATTGTGTGTTAAGGCTAATTGGGAGTCCGGCTAATTTGTGTCTATAAATATTGAGGAGCTCAATGAGTCTAGTGCCTGACTCTTGAGTTTTCTAGTTAATTTTCTCCTCTTCCTTCATGCTGTGTTGTGCTATGTGGGTTTATTTCTGTTAGCTTTTATTGTTTTATATCCCTATTACTCTTTATAGGATGAGAACAAACTAGTATGGTAGAATAGCTTTTAAAAACAGTGTCTTTTGACATGACTTAATCTTAAAAAATACCCATTACTTCCAACAATCTTAAGTGCTAATATGACATCTAATGCTGGAACATCATTCTTAAATGTTCCTGGTGATTTTGGTGGAGATGCATTCATCCCTATTATTGTTGTTGTTTCCCTTCTAAAACCATTCCCCAAATATTTCAAAGATAGAAATGTTTGATAGCAAAAACTATAAGAGCTGGCAGGAACAAATATTCATCATCCTTGATTGCATAGTGTAGCAACGTCTCTTAACCAAGCCAAGCTCCTTGTTGATAGGCTCATAGGAGTGCTTGGACACATGAAAATAAGGTATATTGGCATACTATCATTAGCTCTTTGTCTAATGATTAGTTTTATGTCTATTATGTCTACAAAGAAGCCAATAAGATGTGAGAGTCATTGGTGACAAAGTATATTGCTAAAGATGTTGGCAAGCAAAAGTTTCAAGTGGGGTTTCATTTTTTCACAATATACGTTAGAAATTTTTTCAAGTCTAGTTAGTGAATTACCAAGTGACGCTTTTTGTTAAACATTCCATTTTCAAGTGGGGTTTCATGTTTTCACAATATACATTAGTAATTTTCTCAAGTTGGGTTAGTGAATTTCCAAGTCGCGTTAGTGAATCCCACCTCACAAATTTCATTTTTTTATCACAATTAAGGACCATGGTCCTTAACTCGAATTTCAAAATTTCACGGTCCGTAATTGAGATTAATGTTCTTAGCAAGTCCTTAATTGTCATTCTCCCTTTTAATTAAGCCTATTTAGTTAAATAGGTTAGAGCTATTTTTTCAAGACCTACTCTATGAACCTAACAGATTAGCCTATATATATATATTATGTAATGTATCACAAATACATTAATTTCACCATTTAATTTTTAATCAATCTATTCTTTTTTTATTTCTAATTAAATTTTTAATCATGTTATACTTATATATTAATCTTAATGTTGTTATTTTATTTTTATATTATATTATAATTAGTAAGTCCTTTCAATTGTTATATATTGTAATTAATAAATCAGGTTATATATTGTATACTATAGTAGTCCTAAAGTATATTTGAGACATTTAAAACTAAAATACAAGCCTATTTAAAATATTTACTTTTAAATAAGCTTTTAAATAGGTTTTCAAGCCAAATTAAATTTTAGGCAGACTCAAACTTAAATAGTAAAAAATAGTTATACAAATTTTAAGTCAAGTTAAAGTCTCTAATTTATTTCATAAGTTTAGATTTTTTTCTTCATTCTTTGGTTAAAACCTAACTCACTCAAAACCTTGCAGACATGTAGATCTCCATGGCTTCAGTCTCTCTTATAGTCATACGTATGATAATTATGCTTTTGACTATGAGAGTTGAATAATAAATTATAGAGAGCTGAGAGGGGGTCCACAACAACTGAGAGAGCCTATGTGGCAGCATGGCACGACTCAGTCTTAAAAACTACCGCTGCTTCCAAGCATCATCTCAGTTCTCAGAAATGGCGATAGTGGGTAGGATCAAGCTGGGTTCACAAGGCTTGGAGGTATCGGCCCAGGGACTTGGTTGCATGAGCATGTCTTCTGGCTATGGCACTCCTAAACCTGAACCCGACATGATCGCTCTCATCCACCACGCCATCCAGAGCGGCGTCACATTTCTCGACACCTCCGACGTCTACGGCCCACACACGAATGAAATTCTTCTCGGAAAGGTATTGGTCGATTACAAGTCCTTTTGCAGTTTGTAGCTTCTTCGCGTTTGTTCACTCTGTGGGTTTATGATGAATTGGGTGTGAATTTATCTGGCCAGGCTCTGAAGGGAGGTGTGAAGGAGAAGGTTGAATTGGCCTCCAAATTCGGAATCAGCTTTGCCGACGGCAAGGCTGGTATCCGTGGCGATCCTGCGTACGTGAGAGCGGCTTGTGAGGCCAGCTTGAAGAGACTGGAGATCGATTGTATTGATCTCTATTACCAGCATCGTGTTGATACTCGTGTTCCTATTGAAGTCACGGTCCGTCTTTTATCTGCTTTGGATGATATTTTCTCTGGGTAAATTATAGTTTATCTATGTGGTTCGTGTTTGAGGTGAAGTTAATTTCACCTTGTGTTTTCACTAAAATTGATGCAAGATAGATAGGCCGTTGAATAATACACCTTTCATTTGTCCTGTGGGTAAATTTTAACTAAAATAATCATGCAAGTCAGTGCTATATGTCTGTTTCACTCGCAATTCGAATTTTATCTTGTTCCAATGGAGTTACTTAATCCTAGTAAAAGTCATAACAGACACACAAAACACTGATAATAAATTATCATAGTAACTTTTACATATTTACATGGGGGTCAGGTGTAACCAAATAAATCAAGAGCGCAGAAATGAGATATCTTAAACCAGGGGAGGCGTACAGATTTGGACCAAACACGCAAGTGTTAATTTGCCCGTATGTAATATTATTCAGAAAAACTTAAAATCCTTGATATAGCTAGCACTGTGTGAGATTACGGATGATTGAAAACAATCTTTCTTGGCTCTGGCTCTTCGATAATGTATTATTTATACAGAATCTTATTAAATGCTGCTGCTTGGTGATTCTAGTATGTTTTCTTATAAGGTTTACACCCTCATGAACTGGAAAACTATGGAGCATTATTTTAATCATATGAGATGATTTTCCTGCAAAATATTTATTAGGATTTGGGAACACTTTTGACATTTTGTAGCCTCAGTTTTCACTCATGTTTTTGAATCTTTGAAGTGTCATAGTCTTAAACCAATATTCTAGGCATTCCTTGTGGTTGTAGCTGAAATTTTTTCTTCACCTGACCTGATTTCTGAAGGCCAAGTGGATTATTTGGTACTAAAAGTTTCTTGTTTGGAGGAATTTAATCTGAGTTCCTGAAACAATATCTTTTCCCACCAGTTGTAAAATGCATGCTGCATGATCATATGGTGGTATATTAGGTTTTATAAAAATGAAACGCTGTATTCAGTTTTCTTTAAATTGCCATTTTGGCTATGCTAGATGGACTAAAAGGTTAAGGAGCATCTTTCTTTTCTCAATGACTTGCGAGATCAAGAAGTCCTTTCTTCTTCCTACCATCCATTCGTACGTTTTCTGTGTCCAAGAGTATAACAATTCACTCCACATAATCATATACTTTTTTTTGGATTACGTAGGAGGTCCATGACCTTGGGAGATACTTATAGGGAATGGGGTATGGGAACTTGGAAGGGATACTTGTCAAACCCAGACATATCAAGCTCAGCTAATCTTAAAGATTGAGTTTGGACTTTTGGTGCAAGATCTGGTCCTAGATCATTTGCTGTCTTTCTAGGCGTTACCATAGAGAATTTAAGTTTTGACTATAAAGGTTCATCTTGCAACTAAGAGTACTTTTGTGAATCTGCAATTTATCTTCCATAACTTATTTTCAAAGAGTTCCAACTTTGACAAATGGAACTGACAATTGGTCCATAATTGACATGCATCCTTTTCGTCATGCACATGGTATGGCTTATAGGGAATGAAAGATAAGATGTTAATTTTTTGATCCTTTTCACTCCCAAAAAAAAAAAACTACATGTATGATATCAAACTTTATACTTATTTTCATATTTTTTATTTTAAGATCGGGGAACTTAAAAAGCTTGTCGAGGAGGGAAAAATAAAATATATTGGCTTGTCTGAGGCCTCAGCCTCAACAATCAGAAGAGCACATGCTGTTCATCCTATAACAGCTGTGCAGTTGGAGTGGTCATTATGGACAAGAGATGTGGAGGGCGAAATAATTCCAACCTGCAGGTGAGGTTTGAACTGCTAAAGTTGCTAATTATAATATCTATCATTTCTCTCTATTGGCCTTTCGATAAACAATTAGGGTATAGCTTTGCGACCTTTGATTTTGCATTTGTTAAATTTTCAGAGAACTTGGCATTGGAATTGTAGCTTATAGTCCTCTTGGACGAGGATTCTTTTCTTCAGGAGTGAAGGTGGTTGAAAGTTTTTCAGAGAATGACTTTCGGAAGGTTTGCATACATTCAAATATGCATTATGCACTTTGGTTTCACTTGTCATGAAAAACTAGCTTAGCTTCTAATGGTATTATTTCAAGGGAAAATGACAATTAGGGACCTATAAGAACATTAATGACAATTACAAACCCTAAATCACTGAAATTCCAATAATAGACCATGGTCTTTACAACAACAACAGCAACAACAACCATGGTCTTTACTTGTAATAAATTATCTTTTATTGATTAGCTTGAGATTCACAACAAACTTTAGTAAATTATCAACTAATGCTACAAAAATTCCCAACTATCTTTTATTGATTTCTCAAGCGATAACACAAAATCACAAGTGATCAGCTTATAATTCATAACCAACTCTTGTAATTTCCTAGCTGATGTTGCAAATAATTTCAAGTTTATTTAGTAGATTTCCCAAGTAATTTATCTATATATTGATAGCAAAAAGATCACAAGTGATTAGCTTGCAATTCACAACTGATTCTTGTAAATTCCCAACTAACGTTTCAAATAATTCTAAGTGTATTTACTTGATTTCCAAGTGGTTTATCTATATATCGGCAATAAAAAATTGAGATTCACAAGTAACTTTCGTAAATTCCCAACTAATATTGCAAATAATTTTAAGTGGACTTAGTAGATTTCCCAACTAATTATTTGCATTTTTTTAATTACAAGTGAAGACAATGGTCTATTATTGAGATTTCAATAAAGGTATGTGATTGTCATATGGGGTCGCTAATTGTCATTTTCCCTTATTTCAAAGCCCTTCAATGTGAAAGTCAGTAAAGTCAGCTTTTTCTAATCTTTTGTGTCCTTCAAAATTTCAATTATAGTTTTACCATTCAAGATTAAATAGCTGTAGAGTGTTGTTGTTGAATTAATTGATAATCTTTCTTGTGGATTTTATAATCATGTTTGCATAATATAACAATTGCATTCATTAGCATCAATTTGTTTAAAAACATGCATAAACTGGATAAATCGTGAAGATAATAACACAGTTGTTGTTCAGGTGCTTAGCTCTCTTGACAAATCTCGAGTGATGGCAAGATTTTTTAAAAGAAAAACACAGTTAAACTTGCTCAGATCTTTTGTTTATTTCAATCCTGCTATTTCCCTCTGTATTTCCAGATTCTGTCCTTTTTTCCCTCTTAATTAGCTTATGCATTGAAAATTGAAGCCTGAACGCTGAGTAGGGATTGCCAAACTAAACCCTGACAGAGGAGACATTGACTGAAAATCTGTAAGATGGCTTGAGAAAAGTTTATCTTGATACATCTTTATTTGGATTTCTTCTTTCATGGGTTGATCAATAGAACAAGCTTGTCTCCATCCATCTAGTTTATGCCTTGGAGGCTTGTAGGTATCATGTAAGTTCTATCAACATGGGGTACTGCCGTCCTGGACATTGCCTTGATATATGAACTTACAGGAGAATAGAATTATATGGCTAGAGCCTTTCTTCTATACTGTCCTTGTTCCTCTCACTAATTTATGAGTTCAATCTCATGTGTATGGGTTAAAAGGACTAGAGTTTAAAGAATCCTTTTATGCTTTTTCTTTTCTGTTTGATGGGCTGCATGTTTTCTAATTCCTATGTACCATATTTGTTGCTGACTAGGTTATTTTTTTCGAAGGGGTGGAGGTGGGAATTTGACGAGCATTAGTGTCATGTTTGCATAGAAAAAAGTTCTTATGATATCAAGTTTACCACTTCAACATTGTCTTTTCAAACTTATAATTTAAAGAAGATATGTGCTTGACTCGATTACAAGTTTCCAGCACAAATAAATTCTATAAACCTGTACTGAGTCACTTCACTTAACATTAAAGGTGATAATGAAATTTGAGATAAGTACAGAGTTACTTGACTTAACATTAAAGCGTCATTTTTACTGTTGCTTTGAAACGTTGATGTCATGAACTTTGGAGGACATTCAAGTTTATAAGTAATGAAACTTTGTGCATAAATAACCTTCAAGGTAGTAGAATATATTTGGTTTATCCTCTTTTGTATCATGCAAGCTGGTAATAAACTATGAGTTTGAGCAGGTGTACAATTATACTCTGTAATTTGAAATATTGGTGATGATGGAGAACTGTTGGTATGTTTGCCTGAGCTGTTAGTAATAATTGAGAAATGGCCCCTAATTCTTTTTCGCTCTTAACCATTTTTGGTGAGGAAGGGTGAAAAGAAATTTTAAAAATGAAGTGAAAGGAAAATAAAAGTATTAAGCTGCTTTAAAATTTAATGTTTCTTGTTTCTTTCCCATTGTTAGAGCACAACGGCATTGTGCAATTCATATAGCTAATCCGATTTAGTGGGATAAGGCTTGTTATTGCATCTTTCCCAATTGACACCATGTGAGATGATTAATGTGCACTGCAAATAACATGTATTTTAGTTCAAAATCCCTGGTTATTATCATATGTTTGACATGGTACCAATTTACTCACTTCGTATCTATCATGTAATATCTTGCACGTTTGTGTCTATGCGGCAGTGGACGCAATATATAAAAACAATCAGATTAAAAAATTTAAAATGTTATGATATGTAAGACATGTAATAACATGCTGTGACAGGCTTGTGCCTTGAGTGTTGCAGCATCCTTCTTAAGGTTGAGATATAAAATTTGTCGTACCTGACACTTTGCTTCAATGTAAATGATGGACACAATTCCATATCCATGCTTGAAACATTCATTATTGATAGATTGACATCAAGATATAATCTTATTCGTGTATGTATTGTACATCATTTTAGCATCTGCCTAGATTCCATCCTGAAAACATGGAGCACAACAAGATTATATTTGAGAGGGTTAGTGAAATGGCTACAAGGAAGGGATGCACTCCGTCCCAGCTAGCATTGGCCTGGGTTCATCATCAGGGGAATGATGTGTGCCCTATACCAGGAACCACCAAAATTGAGAACTTGAACCAAAACATTGGAGCTTTGTCAGTTACTTTTACTCCAGAAGAAATGGCAGAACTCGAGTCTTTCGTTGCTGCTGATGCAGTCAAGGGTGAAAGATCTGGTCCTGGAATACCTACATGGAAGGAAGGTGACACTCCTCCTCTTTCTTCTTGGAAAGCTGCTTAAAGAAGTTCATTCCTTATACTTCATATATTCAGTACTTGTTGCTGCCTTTGGCAAACTGATTAGTACAAGAGGTATCCTTGCCTCAATGGTGGTGTTACATACTTATACTAGATTCTAACTCCCGTGCAATGCACGGGACAGTAAAAACATTGACAAACTCAAATTATAATTAGAACATAAATTGGGGTAAAAATAATATTTATGAAATTTTACTTTTTATTGTGAAATTAGAAGCTATTCTTTTCCTTTCAAATCTCCCTTTCATGTGGCCAGTGAATAATGAATTATCTTAGTAGTTGTTAGATGATCTCTTCACCAGTGTTTTATCATTGCACGCTTCTTTGACAATAGTTGATGATAAATAGTTGACAATAAAAATGAAGGAGGACATTGAAGAATTCGGTAGTAACTTAAAAGAACATTAATCACCCTCCTTCAATCAATTTAAGCAATTAGCTGTTATTGCAAAGTAGGTCCTAATCAACTTTAGCGTTTATTAAAAAAAAAAAAAAACAGTGGCCTCCTAATTTGATGGTATGCGACGACACTAGTTTTGTATCTGCTAAAGAGACGACCTACAGACAAACTTTTCAAAGCCAATAGATTTCTAATGTGTGAAGCAGCTTGAAAGGCAGAGACATAACAAAATGAACTCTGATTGCAGAGGATTTTTGAGTAGTAAAGTAATGATTTGAATTTGAAGCTTACTTCTGGTTTAATGTATGAACTATTGTCTTTATTCAAATGTGGGAAGTGCAAAATAAAAATATTGCATAAAATTTTTCTCAATATCCCATAAATTGTTACCTCTTATATTATACTACATTGTTAAAAAAAATAAAAAGCTCATAAGATGTTGCGTGCGGCGCACCTCTTACTGCCAAAGGACGAACTTCAGTACGATCACCAAGAGGATTTTATAAGAAGTTAGGATCATGCCTTGATAGTCAAAAAAGGAACTGACATGTCACAGCAGTAGTGTCTGGAAGCATTTGAGAAGGAGAGAACAAAGCATCCTGAAATTCAAAAATTATATTGTTTGATTAGTTGTAAGTCTTTCTTTTCAAATAATTGAGCTCCAGCTTGTTAGAGAGAGGGATGTCTTCAAATGAAATCTGAATTTGAAGTTGTATAAAGGAAAGACAAAAAATGGTATGGAGAAAGAGGGCAAAAATTCTTCGAGCATTGGCAGAAGTAAAAGCTGCAATGAAAAAAGTAAAAAGTGGACTAACATGAACCTGATATAGAGGGTGGAAAAGAAGAGAGAAATGGAGAGGGTGAGGAACTGACAAAAGCAATTAGTGAGTACATGGGGAAATAGGGGTGATTATCTTCATGTTATTATTATGATATACTATAATTATTAGTAGTATATAGCAGTTTATTGTGGTAGTTCAGGATAAATTATTATGCTGTAATTTAGATGCAGCTATTAGCAATTCCATTACATGTAATAGCAGTAAGATGCATTAGGATTCAGACTCACCATTTATTTGAACTTGCATTGGAGATTCCCCTTGATCAAAATATCAAACAGATTAATAATCAAGTAATTAATTAAAACTAAAAAAACATGCTTGGAAACATTTTGAAGAATTCCTCTTCATAAACAAAACGTTAGTAGATTTTCCATGGATTACAATGCTATTAATGATATATTGTTGAGGTTATTTATGAAAGAGAAACTTCAAGATAAACATGCAGCACCCAGTTCAAATTTCAAGAGAAGAGAAATGAATCTATAAGACAGTGATAAGTTGACTTTAGACAAAACCTTTGCTACCTTTTTCATCCCAAACCAAACTGGTTAGGGAATCAAATTATTTTATAGACTTGATATTGAAACCTTCATAGTCAGCAATGAAGTTGGAAACATGGAAGATCAATATTAATAGAGGATATCATATTTATAGATAGTTGGAAACATGGAGCAACAGTGCCAGCAAGCATTTTCATCAAGGCACCTGAATGAAGACTTTTGCACCTTCAAGGATTGGGAGCAACAGATGCGAGTGGGGAAGATACTTAACCATAAGCTGCAACAAAATAAAAACATATGCCGGTTGAGTAAAACCCAAGTCCATCACAGATCAAAGCCTCATATCTTGTAATCATTGTACAACAGTTGGGTAAAACCCAAATCCATCACAGATTAATTTCTCATGCTCAAAAGGATTAAGAGGTTGGATGATGATCTCACCTCTCTAGCCACTGGATTCCATAATAAAAAGGACATATCAAAGAGTTTGATACAGAGAAAGCCATTACTCGAACTAACAATCCTATGGTACATCTTCCATGGAGTGTTCTAAAATTGAACTACTCACATCTCGCAATCAAGCAAATATAATGGCAAAGTGTAACGATTCATCATTTTTCATGAGGTTAAAGAGCTCCGATACATTCTAGAACCCTCCAGAAGGCTCTCGAACAAGCTTAAGAGTGCTAAAGAGTGCAAGAACATTCTAGAGAAGTCTACACAAGTCTAGCCTCAATATTTTAATGTTTGCTACCAGATCTTTCCATGTAAATATCTAGATGTTCGTTATAAATATCTAGGAGAGTATTCTAGAGAATGAATTGTAACCGTAGGATCGATTCAATCTCCACCATCCATTAAGGAGGTGGGAATTTTCTAGATCCAAGGGGGAGGTCTATAAATACCTTACCCCTCCTCATTTGTAACACATAACCCTTGAGTTCTCAAAGTAATACTACTCTCACATTCTTCAAGCTCTTTTCCAAGTATCCTTTGCCCTCAAACTTTCCCTTCCTCAACTTAGCCAAGCATCCTCCTTTCATACAAGTTAGGCTTACTTAGCAACTTCCAGTGAAGATTGTCTAAATGCCGCACGGGTCGAAAGACTAGCCTCGTGACAGTTGGTATCAGAGCCAGGTTCTAACCTTTGTGCTTGAAGGAAGGTATTGCGCAATGGCAACTGAGGAAGGAAACATTGTTAGTATGGAAGCGCAAGAGCAAGCTTGCGTACATAAGGAGCAAGCTCATACCAAGTTCAAGCGAGAGCGAGGCCGGAATAGGGCACCCGCAGGTGAGTCCCTTGAACCTCGTGTTACTAGCTTGGAATCTAACATGGAGGAAGTGAAAACTACTATTAGGAAACTCGACGATCAACTCAGCAATCTCATGCAAGAGAATGCTGAGGTGATGTGTGTTGCCAAGTCAATGATTGCAAAACTTGGCAAAAATTTAAGGGAGGACATTCATTCCCTCACACATGATCTCGCCAATCTCCGCAAATACATTAGAGATGAGGTGCGAGGTCTACGCTCCCAGATGAATGAGATTCGTCATGAGTGGGAATCTCATCACTGTGTAAGCAGCCCTATTAGCGGTAGTACTTCAAACGCCACTTCTCAGGGTTTGAAAGTGTCCAAGCCGGCCATGTACAATGGGGCTCGTAGTGCCACAATTGTGGAGAACTTCCTCTTTGGCCTAGAACAGTATTTTGAGGCTATAGGAGTCTCTGACGACTTGATTATAATCAACAATGCTTCGACTTTCCTTTGGGATGCAGCCTAACTATGGTGGTGCAGAAAGCATGCTGAGAGAGAGAAGGGCCTTTGCACTCTCAACACATGAGAGCTGTTCAAGTCAGAACCCCGCAAGCACTTTGTTCCCCACGACATTGAGACAGAGGCTTGAGGTAAGCTCCATAGGTTGAGACAAAGTGGAAGCATTTCTGACTACATCAAAGAGTTTACTACCATCATGCTCGAGATTGAGGATTTGTCCAACAAGGAGACTCTTTTCCACTTCATGGATGGACTCAAAGACTAGGCTAAACTAGAGCTCGACAAGCTCAAGGTGTAAACTCTAGATGAGGCAATTGCGACTGCTGAGTGCCTCATCGACTACTCTACCAAGTCCAAGAAGTTTAATCCTGGTAAGAGTGGAGGAGACAAAGGAAGACAAAAGAAGAACTCCGATCATAAGGATGGTGGTAAATCCTCTGGTGGAAATTCTAAACAGGACAAGCCATCCTCAACCAAACGTGATGCCTCAAAGCCACCAAAACCATGCTTCATATGCAATGGTCCACACTGGACTTGCGACTGCCCCAACCGTAAGGCTATGAATGCCTTGGTTGCTGAGATGAAAGAAAAGAAGGACAAAGAGCAACAGGTTGACCTTGGTTCCCTCCAACACTTGAATGCATTGATTGGGCTCTTTTCTCCATCTAAGAAGGAAGAGAAGGGTCTACTTTATGCTGATCTTGCCATCAAAGGCAAGGTTACCTTTGCCATGCTCGATACAGGAGCATCTTACAACTTCATGGAGGTTGAAGAAGTAAAGAGATTGGACATTCAACTCAACAAGGGAGAAGACACCATCAAAGCAGTGAACTCCCTAGCCAAACAAGTCCTTGGGATCGCCAAGGATGTGAAGGTGAAAATCAGGGATTGGCAAGGTACGCTGGACTTTACTATTGTCCCTATGGATGATTTCAAAGTTGTGTTGGGACTTGCTTTCTTTCGCAAAGCACATGCCTTCCCTATTCCCGAAGCCAAGTCTATGGTAGTCATCGACTCCAACATGATTTGAGTAATCCCCTTGAGGCGCTTGGAGAAATCCAAACCTATGATTTCTGCCTTGCAATTCAAGAGGGGTCTCAAGAACTCAGAAGAATACGTTGCCACTGTACGTTTATTAGCTGAGGAAGAAGATGGCACAACCAATCCACAGGAAACCTTGCCCCCTTGCATCTAAGAGGTGCTATGGGAGTACAAGCATGTCTTGCCGGATGAGTTGCCCAAGAAACTACCTCCCAAAAGAGAGGTAGATCATCAAATCGAGTTGGAGCCTAGTGCCAAACCACCTGCCTTGACACCCCACCGTATGTCGCCTCCAGAACTTGCTGAATTAAGGAGACAACTCTAAGATCTCCTTGATTCTGGATACATCCAACCATCCAAGGCCCTATATGGTGCTCCAGTCCTCTTTCAGAAGAAGAAGGATGGTTCGTTGCGGATGTATATCAACTACAGGGTCTTGAACAAGATCACAATCAAGAATAAGTATCCAATACCTTTGATCGCTGACTTGTTCGATCAGCTTGGAAAGGCCAGGTACTTCTCTAAGCTTGATCTTCGATCAGGGTACTATCAAGTACGTATCGCCATAGGTGATGAGCCAAAGACAACCTGCGTGACAAGATATGGAGCATTTGAATTTCTTGTCATGCCCTTTGGACTGATGAATGCCCCA